GAGAATGAGAATGAGAGAAAGAGACGGAGAGTTGTTTCACAGGAAGGGGGGAAAAGAGAGGTGTTCTCGGGCTCTTTGACCCATTTTCTTCCACACATATGAGATTACAATGTGAGGTTAAGGTAGAGAAAACCCCCCACCCCACCCCACCCCCGTGTATGCATGGGTGTTCTCGGGCTCTTTGACCCATTTTCTTCAACACAGATGAGATTACAATGTGAGGTCCCCCTCCCCTCCCGTGTATGTCAAGGGTCCTATATTTATGAGTATAATAGGAAAAATAATATTACAATAATACCTCTGCTTTAAGGAGGGCGTATATGATATTTTGGTCTTTTTGTCATTCTGAAGCATTGGAACATGTCGGCATTGGGTGACCGGCTGGAGCTGGGTGGCTGACCCAAGGAGGCCGAACTAGAAGTACCGAATTAGGGAGGCCGACCTAGGGAGGTCAAACCAGGAGGGGGCGACCCAGGGAGGCCGTACCAGGGATTGGGTGGTTGACCAGAAAGGGGGAAATCCCTGCTTGTACAACTCCGGCGACGGCTTGTCCTAGCTCGGTAAGGTGGTATTTTCTGGCCATACACATATCATATCATTTATAAATATTATATTAGTTTCAATAAGCTTTATAAGTCTTGCAATACTAATAAGAAAAATAAAATAGGGCCAATCACATCATTATAGATCTTGATTGGGTATAACTCTCTTAATTGTGTTCCTGTTTGCCACTTGAATTGTAACTCTTTCTCCAAATATTTGCAATTCCAAACTCTTCTGTAACTCCCTAGCTCTTGATTATTAACCCCTTTCCTCCAAGTGTTGTAACTCAAAACCGTTCAATAATCATTATATTACATCAACTCTCCTCTTCAAATAATTCTATTACTGGAGAATTGATTATGGATGGTAGAAAAGTGCCTTAATAAAATCTAAGTTGTTATTGAAACTAAAATGTAACAGAGAGATGACATGAAGCAAAAATGGAACCTAATAACAACTAATATGCAACCCAAAGTAAATGAAAAAAAAAGAATGATAATAATTTCCTTTTATCATTTTTTTTTTTAAAGACATCTAAGATAATATTCCTTCTAAAAAAGAGTAATCTATGTCATAAAACTAAATAACTGAAGTGGCCGTCTTTAACTTCTTAAACAGGTGATTAGAAAATCAAATTTAAACATTTTGAAAAGGATGAAAATTTAGGAAAAGAAATAATTAAAACAAAAAATTTAACAGTTTTGTAAACTCACCAATTTTTTCCAAAAAAAAAAATGTAATAAATCAGTCAAACCTTTCTCGTATATAAAAATAAATCAGCTTCAATTGTGATACCAAATAATAATGCATTTTGATGTTTATGAATGTGATGTTTACAAAAATATAGAGGAATGGAAGGCCAAACTCATGGAAAAGAGAGTTATAATATTCAAGAAGAAAACTGAATATATATAGATATATATATAGATAAGAATAAAATAGAAAGGATGCAAATAAAATGTAAGTGATCCCAACCAAAGGTACTAATTGAAGCCACCTAGCCTACCAAAAGACAAATCCACCAAATTACACCTAGTATCTTACGAAAAGTCTCCAATTTCATATCATTATATCATTTACAAATATTGCATAAGCATAAATAATTATTACAAAACTTGCAACATCAATATAAAAAATAAAAGAGGGCTAGCCACACCATGATTGCAATTTATAATAGAGATCGAGTGCAACTATCATATTCTTTCGTAATTTTTTAGCTTTTCATTCACAACTTCCTCCAAGTACGTGTAACTCCCAAAATTTTTTGTAACTCCTTATGACGTCGGATTTAACCCAAATCACAATGGAAATCCAACTTTTTACTATTGAAATAAAATAGAGATTACAACCAACGGCACTCGAAACTTGGAATAGCAAAAAACACAACACAAACTTAACTAGGGATTAGGTCGAGGGTGGTGATGTTGGGGTTTTCAGAAAAATAGTAAGTATGGAGGGTTGCAGGATCAGAAGGAAACAATGAAAAGCAGTGGTTGGCTGTTGAATGGTTGTATGGTGGGCGGCAGTGAGGTATGGTGAGGTGGTTGCAGCAGGGAGGTGGTGGAAGGGCGTTGGAAGGGTTGAGAAGACTGACGACAGCAAGAAAGGCTGTTGAAAAAGAGTGACAGCAAGATGGGAGGTGGCTGAAAGGGATGGCAGCAAGATGAGAGGTGGTTGGGCGGTAGGTGGCAGCCGGAAAACAGGGGTTGTTTTCCGGGTGGCTGCAGCAAACATGGTGACGGTAGCGGCAGTAGGAAGCAGGAAACAGTAGATAAACACCAACTCGAGCAGCAAACATGGTGACGGTAGCGGCAGTAGGAAGCTTGTGGGAAGCAGGAAACAGTAGATAAACACCAACTCGAGACAAGTTGCAAGCAGAGCACTCTCTCGCCATTGGATACAACCCAATGAGGGAGAATTGGAGATGCCGACAGCTGTCTCGACAAAAAATAGATTAAAAACTGATAACCTAAGACAAAAGAAACACGTATATAAGCTCTAGATAACTAGGATTGGATCCCCTATGGAAAAAGGTGCCAACTGACGGTGGAAATCCATCCATCCATCCATCTAAGCAAGGACCTAGCCCGTGTCACCATACCTCACCCTAGCTCTTGATTATCAAATCTCATTTTTCAAATTGTGCAGCTCTCAAACTCTTCTATAACTCCCTAGTATTTAATTTTAATTGATCATTGCAAGGTCAGCTATCATCATTAAGTATGAATAAAAATAAAACTAATGCATAAATCCTTGCAAAGGTGATGGAAAAATACTATGGAATATTGCAACTTTTCTTACAATAATCTTATAATACACATGAGAACATTAAACTAATCATCTATTATATGTCAACTGAGGGGACACTTATCCTCTAGAATAGTTGTGTTTGTCACTAGTTACTTGATGCATCTTCCCTATTGTTGATGTGGGAGCTTGCAAAAATGTGGGAGCACACGCTCCACAATCCCGTTTCCAAAACTCCGCGTTCCTATGGCTCCTGCTAATTTCGCAATGCCAATCGCAGGATTTCCACGATCATGGTATTTTGCAAGCAAAAGTCACGAAAACATCAGTACCTCGAATGTGGTATAAGCGAACTGAGCAATTATCATCCCATTGCAAAATTTCACACGATTTTTTTTCTAGTATATTTCCTATTTTCTTTCTTCTAATTGGGCTTCATTCTAGCAAAAGACTATTCTGTTTAGGGGGAACTTTTAGTTATTGTTATTAATTTGGGAGACTTTGTTCTGTTTTATACTATTCGGAGCGTTGCATCATCTTTTTTTTTGCAAGTGGTGTATTTAATTCTTTTTCTTTTGGTAAGTGGTGTGTTTGTTTCTTGCTCAGGAACAGATAGTAAACCTCCATGCTATGTTTCTTCTCGTTGCTTTCAGCAGGGACATCTGCCAAATGACTCCTATCCCCATCCAAATGACGTAGACCTCACATATTTTCATTCCTTCACTATTCCTCCCCCACCTCCCCGTAAAATATGCTTCCAAGGCTCCTAGATTTAAAGTTCACAGAAATACAAATGATTTTGGCATCTGACAATGTAAAGCTTCAGTGGGCTCCCTTCTAGCATGTCCACTGAGAGACGCATTATTTTTTGTTCAGTAAGCAATGGAAAAATACCAAGTATTCAAGAACTTGAGTGTTCATTCATACAAACAAAATCAAAATTTAGATAAAAAAACTTATACACAAATGTTTCTAGCAACATTTGATGCAAAACGTTAAGAGAGAAACATATTAAAGAGGGATAAAAACGAAGAACTTTTAACTTACAAGTGCTCACTCCCATATATTGGACGCCTGCTCCCCTTTAGAAAACTTGGTCACCATTCTCACTTTTCTTCATGATACTTGCAATCCTGAGATAAAATTGACAGAGCTCCTCAATAGATTAATTCTATTTATATACAATAGCTTAGTTGATATAACGGAACATAGAAAGGCAAATCTTGTACATCTGTCCTTCAATCATTTGCACTAAATGCATCGTAAACAAGTAAAATGTCAAAATGGTTTCTTGACTGTTTATATGAATTCATTTTAGTCTCTCATAATATAAAGCTGTTAAATTAGTCTTTAGAATTTTTAATGGGGGCTAAAATAGTCCTCCCTCTAAAGATCTGGGGACTACTTCAGCCTACATTTAAGAAAATTAGAAACTAACTGGCACTTTAATAGATTGAGGCTAAAATAATCCCCTACAAAGAGTTACATGATCATTTTGACAATTTGCACCAGCATAGATGTTTAAACAATTTAAGTTATTACAAAGATGGAAAAGTCCAACTTCCTTATTTCACTACAATATTAACGGCTAAATTTAGTGTCCTCTAAGAACTCTATCAGAAATATTAAATAAAGCTGATTTACCTCCCTCTCGTGCGGCGCACAAGATCTAAAATGTCTGAAATTTGCTGCAAATTTGGGTTCATCTGCCTTTGCTTACTTTCCAAAAATATTGTTGAGAGTCTTATAAAATCACAAGTAGCTAATTCTGCTTGCTTAAGTAGCCCATCAACATGCTCCAGAAAGTCTTCGTAAGATGATATCGTTCTAAAATCACTCATGTTGTCACTAACTTGAGTATCAATTGCAACCTCTTCATAATTTAGCTGTTCGTGGTAAAGCGGTAAGCTTTTTTCATGCTTCATATTCTTTATATCTTCTTCTTCACATGTTTTAGTGTACTTAAAATCATGATTACCAGTCATTGCATCATTTTCAATAATATTTTTTGGAAATATAATGCGCGTTTCTTGGGCAGAATCTTCATTGTTAATCACAGGAAATAAGGTGACATTTCCTATCAACTCAGTCTCTTTCAGAGAAATTGCCTGAAATCAGATAATTTTACAGTAATAATATGATAAGCCAAAGTATCTTCTACCAGAGGCTAAAACAAATTAAACAAGAAATATGCAATCCCTTTTGTCAAAGTTTCACCAGGTTTAATATTCAATAAGATGACAATGCACAAATGTACTCAAAAGCAAGAAAAAAAACCAAGATAATTAATCATTAATTTCAACGAAAAATTAAGAGAGATTCATTTAAGCAAATGTCCCAAAAATCTACATTGTTGTGATAATGAGTGATTTAATCAAAGAAACATCTTAACAGAATAAAGATAAGTTTTATTAATATGAAAGCATAACATTAGAAACCTTATTTAACATTGCACTCTGTGGAAAGAATTTAGAAGAGCAAGTAGATTGCATAAATGGAGAAGTCTCGAAGCCTTAATGCATGAAACAGAAATCCAAAGTAATTGATTCTGAAGATAAATAATGTTGCAGTGCAATATAATAAATAGTCTGTTCCAGCTGAGCATCTTCTCTGGATCAGATCAGCTTCAGACATATCATTAAAACTCTAGGTCAGAACTCCCTTGGTGACCCTCAGAGGCACCAGTATCTTCTGCTTTTAAGTCTCAATTGACGCTTAGAGTGGCTAGGGACCCTAGTGACTTAGCCATATTTAGACATATGATTTCCTTGAGATAGTCAAACCAAGCATTTTTCAATAGACCCTATTGATCCAATAGGACCTAGTAGACCCTTAGGCTAGCTTAACTTTAGCTTAGGTTTAGACTCAATCTAAAATCATTGGCACCATTGTAAGTATAGACCCTTAGATATGCTCCTATAAATGCCCTCAATTTCATTATATAAGTTAAACATCTACGATTCTCATCTCTTTTAGGCCCCCTAGCCTTGAATCAGAGATACTGGATAACCTTACTTCTTAACCCAGCTTAACCCCAACTTGAGGCAGAGTTGGGCTAACATAGAAAACTTTGACCAAAGCACTAAATGAATGCGCGCTCCCTTACCCTTCCATTCTACTTCTAACCATACCCAAGTGACCCAATGTAGGTCAACTAAGAATAGTTGAGTATTTCTTTATTTGGTCCCTCCATTGGCTTTTGCTAAGCCCAATTAGGCACTTGCTTTCTGAACAAAGTGATTGTGTATGCTTAAACTAACCCAAACATAGCCTAGTCAACTCTAGTCTGGCTTGCCTATAAACTTGACTTAATCTGGTAGACCCTACTGAAGCACTAGATAGAGCACTCAAGCTCTAGCACAAATTGGACTAGGCCCTGATACCATCCTTGGGTTCTTAGAAGGTGCAAGAGAACGCAAAGAGGCATTAGGGAAGTTAAAGGATGAATAACATGAGTGAAAGGATGGATGGCGCTTGAATTCTAGCGTGGGCGTTGGGATTACAGCACCGCTCTTTTTTGCTGCTCAACAGCAGCTTTTTGCTATCAAACAGCAGTAGAAAGCAAGTTTGACAACCAAGGGGCCTTCATATGTCCAAGAGTGATCGCTACCTCAATTCTATCAAGTTACATGCACACCACCTGAAAGAAATCCAAGGATACAACACTCCAATAGAGAAAACTAAGAGAAAACATCTCAAAATAACATAAACAAAGCCAAACGTTAATCCAAAACAGAAAACAAAATATATAAATAGCCCCCAAATAGAAATTACCCTAATTATGGATGAAAAAAGAAAAGATATCAAAAGGGAAATTGGGCTGAAATTATTATTTTGGAATGCCCCGTCGTTCGGTACCTGCGATCACGGCATATCCCACAATCCTGCGGAATCCCGCATCTCGAGATTAATTCTGTGACGAGCAAAATTCCGCCGGCAAAGATCCTGCATCATTTACCGTGGTAGGAGAGGCTTATTCTTTTTCTTTGGAAGAGTGGTTTGATCCCACTAATGGATTTTATTTCATACAAAACACTTAAGGTGATTTCCAAAATAAGTGTTTGTCATATCTAGCTTATTTGTCGAACACAGTACTTAACTTACTCCATAGGGTCTTCCAGAATAGCCGAAAAACTTCTTATCTCGTTTTGAAGTGTTGACATATTGGAACACTCTAAATAGTGGCACCCTAGGGAGTAAACTCAAAGTATAAGAATCCTAAAACTCCAGTGAAAGTTGCACCGCCTCAAATATTGGCTTTTTCATGGAATTGTCTTCAAGCAATGCCAAGACCAATTTAACTGACCCCACTCTCGCAACTTGTAGAAATGTGACACGAGCCACTAAAGTTCCTTTTTTATGTCTGAACACTCGTTACTACTGACTCCTTCAAAGGCAAAAACATAATACACGTCCCATCCTTGATAAATGAGTATGTGTTTTTGCAACCACCATGAAGTGAATCCAAGTCGTATTATAAAAATCAGCCCAAAAGAATGTGAGACGCATCCATAGACACGAGATCACACCAAACCTAATCCTGCAACTTATCTCCCATAAAAAAAACTCCACGAGACTTCTATCAACAGTGATTTTATTACCTTTCTTCAAACAAGATGGATACCATTCAAGGGTTCCTAGAAGGTGTGAAAGGATAAAAGAAAGGGATAGGTAAGTTGTTGGATATGCAAGAAAAGCTGGAGGATGAATGTAATTTAAAATCTAATGTGAACATGAAGATGACAGTAAGTCGAAAGCGAAGAACGGCTATTTTCTGCTTTCAAACAATAGTAGGCAGCAAATTCGACGATAAAGGACTCCTAACGTCCAGAAGAGATCATCACTTTGATCCTATCAGGCTACAGACACAACTTAGAAGAGATTCAAAGATACAATACTTCAATAAAAAAAAACTATGAGAACATATCTCCAAATAGCATATCAAAAGCCAAAATTCCTCAAAACAACAAAAAACCCCACACATAACAAAAGCCAAAATTCCTCAAAACAACAAAAAACCCCCACACATAAATAGTCTCCTCTATAGAAATAAACCTATTTAGAAAAAAAGGAATAGAAAATACTTAGAAAAAGAAGGAAATCAATTGAAATCGATAATCGAGCGAGCAGGATGTCAGTCCTACAATCACGAGAGGGTTTGTGATCTTATGCAATCACAGATTTTGCAATATCGCATTAGTGAAAAGAACGAGATCACATTGTCGCGATTCGGATGTTTGCGTCACACGTGATTGGGATCGCGCTGCCATGATTCATGAGCTCTACGTCATTCTCTTGGGGTACGAGGAGCTTCATATTCTTCCCATAAAGCTTCTAAAATCGATCTACCATAACAAAGTCATTGTACTATTATGGTTGGGAGAGTTCCACTACAAAGTCTATACTCGTGCCACTCAAAAAACACGTACATCTTTCCAAAGTATATCTTGGTATAATAAATATCAATCCTTCTTCAGCACAATCAAAACTGAAGTGGCATCTCGGCTAGTACTCTCACGAATCAAGCCTCTAACCCTCAAGTGGGTAAGGGTTTGACTCATACTTGGTTGGTTGCATCCAATAGGCAAGTTGGTTTGACAAAAAAAAAATATTGGAATGAGCTCTATAGCATGTTGGATCTCTCACAGTGGTAGCCATCAATGTAGTAAACTATCAATCAAGATTTCTGACAACTCCTGGAACAAGGGCAGCTCCTTTTCTAATATTGGCTCCTCAAACTCAAATTCTTCTAAGACAACTAATGATAGTTCAGTTGGAGTCTCTCTCAAGGGATAAACTTGACTTGTTAGCATCTCTCACCCATCAGCTAGAAGTTAATACTCCTCTTAGACGTCTTCATGCTCTCATATGTCATTGTCAATTTCTTCAACTGCTCCCTGCTTAGTGAATGAGATCATCCTCATGATTGGAAAATCTAATATAATTTGCCTAAAAATATGGCACTTGAATCACTTCCTGGCTAAAATGAATTTGGGAGTGCTGGTTGGCTCCAACTTTTCTCCACTATGAAACGATTTCTTCTTGGGCAGAGTCGGTTGAGATACTCTACTAGGTGTACTCTTATTGCTTTTTTTTTTGTTTAAACCTTGTAAGGTGCGACAGTCGCCTAATGATGTTGTTTCTCCACCTTCAAAGCTAAGGTTTGTAAATCGAGTAGGGACCAGTATGACTATAGCTGCACCACATTCATAATACATAACCTCAATCCTCCAAGATATTGAGCTACGTTGTGCTCCTCTAATTCTCTTAACTTACATTTTAGCATGAGTTAATCAAATTCAACTGTACTTTCCCCCACAGAAGAATTTTTCTGTCGCACGTGGTGGAATCTACTAAAAATATCCGGCCAGTAATGCAAGGGAAGATAATTACGCAACATCTTTCTTTTCATCTTAAGACCAAGTGATGATCATATTTTTTCCTAGTCGCTATCAAATATACTTCAGGTTCTTCCACTACAAAGATGTACTCTTCTTTAACTTAATAGTGACTAGCTTTGCCCTACTATTTTGTGGAATGTCCGTATACTCAAAGAATCATTCTACTGATTGGAGTCACTTGATGAATTCATCTGGATACATATGACCGTCGAAATTTGGCAAGTAAATATTGACTCCAAAATCTTGGCTTCTTCTCTAAAATTTCATGCCGAATCGTCGGGATATTGGTTTGTCGTCACTAGAAATATCCTAGTGGAATGGATTCACTTCATCCTCGCAATATGGCGAGTCACCAATTTGACTATAAATGAGTCACCTAGGCTGTCTCATCTCAAAGGTGGCAAGCCTTTGTCACAGCGGAAAATTTTCTCATTGCATATTCGCCATAATAAGCTCAGGGACGCCTTTTTTGTAGAGTTCTCTTAAGTGGCATTGTGTCGTTTTCTCTCAATCAAAATCTCTAAGGGAATAGGGTTGTAGATAAAATATTGGTCGAAGTTTCGAGTTTTGATAGTAGGTGTAGGGGTAGATTTTTGATGGAGATGGAAAGGTTGAATTATGAAAATTTTGGTTTGGGGTTAGTAATTGTTGTAGGATTGGATAGGATATGGAACGAATATATGTGTGTGTGTGTATTGTGAATTTTG